GGCGAAGATGGAACACAGAGCAAGAAATCGGAAACCATCAGGGAGCGCCCGCGACCTTTCACATAAAATGGCTCATGACCGGGAGCCATCCAACGTTTGTTACTAATTTCGTTTGATCGAAAGGTTGCTTCATCATGGCAAATCAGCACGACCTGCTCCCGAGCTGTCGGGGCTATCCATGTCGGGTCATCTCCGTCTGTAACTCGATAATAACATTGTTCTCTCGATAAAAAATAATCGATGATTGTATTTCTGTGCTCAATAACATCGCTCCTCTCATGACCGACGAAATAAGGACGAGATTTGTTTGCCGAATGAGTTATTACCCATCTTTCCAAATCTAAGCGGCAGCTCTGAACCGAGCGAATGTAACCTGAGCCGTCTTTCGGTAAGCCATGTATTTCACGATATTTGGTGTCAATATAATCTGCCAATTCTTCCACTGTGAATGATGCAGCTTTACGCATGCAGCCTTGTATTGCAAAGTCGCGGGCTGCCGCTTCCATATCGGAATATACGTCCCAGAACGAATCTCCTCGTTTTCCACCTCGGGCGCTGGCCACAAATCTGTCAAAACCGTAGTTAAGAAGTCTGTCTGTCTGTCTGTGACAGGCCTGTGCTCTGTAACCTCCGACTTCGGCCAAAAATGCATCAGTATCACGATATGTAATGTTGAAACGTCGTAAGGACATATAAAGTAACACACTCAGACATTTGGTACTACTTGTTTGTTTCAGGAATTCCATTACTTCGCTTACCTTCGATAAAACATCTGCAGAGCTGAAATCAATGTCTTTATCTTGTTGTAAATTAAGAATAAATTCATCTTCGCTGGAAGACTTCGGCGGTTCTTCATAATAGCTGGAACTGGAACGTTTTTTGAATCCAAATGTTTCAGAACGAGTACGTCTTTTTGACTTCGGCATTGTAAATGAATAATTTAATATTGAGTTTAGTCGGCGAGATGGTTTTAATTGAATTGAGAGTTACGGACTTCTAGCGCGATATACTCACAT